TGACCGTATCTACACACATTCATATCCGCTGCTCGTCTTTCATCCTTCCGGGATCAAGAAGACAGGTGAAATACAATTAGCCGTGCGGTTCACTTGCCTATCTCTCATCAACATGCTTCATATGTATTCTCAGCCATTACTACCCAAAATGCATTACATCCACCCGTTATCGGTTCTCCAGCTGGACAGCCTGCGACACCAGGCGATGAACATTGTCTCGGCGAGGCTGAACCGCGCAGAGCCACCTCTTCGCAAAGAGATTGTAGAGTACATGCTCGATGTTGACTCCCATATGTGGAGCATGAGGAGGAGTAAAGCTAACTTCTTCAGAATCATGAATGTTCTGAGTGGTCTCATTGCTGTTGGAAAATGGTTTGATCAGATCTGCAACTGGAGAAACCCAATAACCACAATTCTCATTCATGTTCTTTTCATTATCTTAGTTCTCTACCCGGAACTCATCCTCCCAACGGTTTTCTTGTACCTTTTCTTGATCGGGATCTGGAATTTCCGGTGGAGACCAAGGCACCCGCCACACATGGACACAAGGTTGTCCCACGCAGACGCTGTCCACCCCGATGAGCTTGATGAAGAGTTTGATACTTTCCCAACTTCCCGATCCTCTGAGATTGTGAGGATGCGATATGACCGGCTCAGAAGCATAGGAGGACGGGTTCAGACCGTGATAGGCGATCTAGCGACACAGGGAGAGCGGTTTTTATCGCTGCTGAGCTGGCGAGACCCGAGGGCAACCACATTGTTTGTGCTCTTCTGTCTCATAGCTGCTATCGTGTTGTATGTTACACCGTTTCAGGTTGTTGCACTTCTTGTTGGGATCTATGTGCTGAGGCATCCAAGGTTCAGGCACAAGCTACCCTCTGTGCCGCTCAATCTCTTCAGGAGGCTACCTGCAAGATCTGACAGTCTATTGTAGATATGTTATCTACATCTGCCTTTATGAATCGTTTGTTGGATTTCTAAAAACTTTGGGTTTAATGCTTAATTTGGTCTTTTCAATGGAGATTTAGTTATTAACTGCAACATCATAAGACGGTCGGGAAATCTAAATACATATATCCATCAAACTCAAAATCTTTGGTTGAGTTTCTGTTTCTCATCTGTAATTCTGATTCCACCTAACTTTTTGTCCAATGAATAACAGTTTCTGCCCAGACTATAGGGTTCGATTTAATTCACAAACATATGAGCCAACCCTTGAGGTGCTCTCCCGCCAACCTTAATGTTGTGGAGCAGTTGCTGCAGCCATTGCATTGCAGGTGGATCATCCTGTCAAAGTAACCAAGACGAATAGCTAAAAACAGTGAAGTCCTAAGTACCAAAAGAACTGAGACAGGATTCCAATAAACTGATAGATAACAATTTGGTAAAAAAAAAAAAAAAAAAAAAAAAAAAAAAAAAAAAAAAAAAAAAAAAAAACAATTTGGTATCAGTATCAGTAATAATTGGTTATGATGCTATCAAGAGATATGACACTTACATAGAGACAACCGCTGAAGGTAGCATCCCTCAGAAGATCTGGAAGGCAACTTCCAAGTGCATCGCATGCTCTGAATGTCATCAATAACTGTATTGTGTAAGCACGATTGTATAATATTTGTTTTCAAATGAAGAAAAAGGGGTAATTATTACACCTGGGGTTATCTGTCAAACGGAGATAGCAGCGTATGATGTGCTTTAGTAGCCTAGGAGATGGCCCTTCTGCAAGTGAAGTAACCATATTTCCCAAAACCCGACCCAGAGCAAAGAATCTTTCCGCTGTGGTGCACATGTACTCAAGCCCAACATCGTCCAGCAAAACTTTCTGAACAATGAAAGTAGCAACCTGACATAACCGGTTCGAACAAATCAATCAGATGAATTGCGAAAGCCTAAAACCAATCAGAAACATCAACAGCAGAAGAAAACTTATACAAGTCCTTTGTGTGAAGCAACGATTTCAGATCTTTGCAACTGGCTGTATAAATGATAGGAAACTTGATATACATTTCAAGCATGTAAATATAAGCATCTGAATTAGACAAACTTACAGTCTTTGATAACTCGCTGCCATTTTCCATTGTCCGGAGGCACAATGGGACAATTTCAGTTTGAAGAAGGAATCTTATCACTTCAGTATCATCAACCTACCAAACAAAAAGAACAATGTTGCAACACCAATATCACTAATACGTAATGATTCTATGATGTCTTAACAGTATCTACTCAAAGGTCTTAGCATGCTAAAATCGTTGTTTCTCAAATCAACACAATATATATTTACCAGGAAAATGTTGTATTTATTAGTCAAACAGTTGTTAGCAAGTAAAAGGAGTGTTCCTGTCTTGTTGGCATAAACACACTTTTTATAACTAGACGAGGAAACAAAACTCAAATATCAAGACATACCTTAACAAGTGCACCAATAACCCCCAAGCTAGTCAGTCGCAGGTACTCAAACGGTCTTGACTTGCTTGATGTATTCAAGAAAGCATACAGGTACAATGGCAGATGGGCTGTATTTTGAAAAGCAACAGACGTTAAGCTTTACGCATATTATAACCACACACATCTGATAAATGGGATTAATTAAAAAGGGACCAACAAGGTGGCTCTTTAAACTAGTTTTGGTAGACGGGTTGGGTCATGAACTATTGTAATCTAAGTCGCTAACTTTAGTCACAGAGCAAACACCGAAATTATTTTACTGGGAATTATGGAAGAATTGTCTGTGGGCATAGGACTGTACCTTTCAAGAACAACATCCTCGTATCAGTATGAGAAGCAACACACTGGATGTAAGAAAAGAGAATCGAATCAATAAAAATCAGAGTCTTCCAGATTGAACATACATATATATATATATATATATATATATAAACGTTTGTAAGTCTCCCCAAAAAAAGAAAGAGAAAATTGACAAGATTATATGGACCTGAAGAAGCGCAAGTGCATTGCAGACCCTGTTTGATTGAGCAGGAGTCATGGTTGGAGGAGATAGGACAGGGTAAACTGAGATAATCTCCTGAAAAGAGGAAAGAAACAAAGTGTCTAGATCTTAACCAATACAATGTACATCAAATCTCAAAAGTCAGATGTTAAAAGTAAAGCAGTAAATAGAGAAGCCATCAAGCAATAAATCATTTCCAGAATAAAGGAACAAGTGCCATATAATAACATGGAGAGGGTACCTGTAGAAGAGCAGGAATGGTACCAACAGAATGCCATAAAAGCGGCGCCAAATCTTGAAAGATCTCTCTCTTCTGAAAAAATGAAAAACGGGATTACTGATAGACATGAATTCCAGTGAGAAGACCAAATACAGCAAAGTATATCCTGCTTAATGTATGAAATCAAAAGCAATGAGTTAAGTAAAAACATCAACCTGAAAATCAGAACATCAAAACCAATTAATTTTTTCTAGTGAAGAATCCTCATACCAACTTAAATTTCTCACAACTGAGATCATGAATTTAGGAAAACTGGCTTAATCAGTGTTGAAATATTCCGATATCTAATCTCATCCCTTATTCATGCAAGGTCTACAATCTCAACAATAATCATACAAATTCCCTCAAAATTTGCCGCAAGGAAGAATTAAGAATCGCTAATCTAAAAGCATGTCTAAGATTCACCGGACTAAACAACCAAAGACATTCAAAATTCCATTCAATCGAACGCAGAAAACGAAGACCCAAACGATAAAAAAATTCCCGAGTAAGCGAGAGAGAGATGACCTTGGACAACTCGTGAAGAGCATTTTCCCTGAGTTCGGGATTGCTGAGATCGAGAATCAACTGCTCCGCCGATAATAGCTTCCGATCGTTGCAGGAGGAAGAAGAAGCTCCTGAGAGAGCGACAGATTTCATGGAGAGCGAAGGAGGAAGATTAGCCATTTAGAGAGCCCTTTCACGCGCCGCACAGAGAATCACTCACTACCAAATGAGAGTGAAAGAAGAAGATATATTTATAGGGGCAGGGGTCGTGTCTGTCACGTGCCTCGCTAATTGCTCCGTTACGGCTTACGGGATTTGTTCAAATCTAAATCTCACGTGCCTCGCACAACATGAAGATGTTATTTTGTGAAAGATAAATTTAGGGTAATCAACTATGGAGTTTATATGATTCACATTATGGCTTAGCTAATGTAGAAAACAATAAAGAATAATTAGGTATTTTGATATCAGCAAACAAAAATTGGATTTTCGTTTGTCGCGCCAAAATAAACTAGTTTAACAGTAAAAAAATTTATTATTATTGTTTAACATGAATTTGTCGTAAAATTCAAACAATTAGTGTCACTCGATGTAACCATTGCCTTTCTAACAATGCAAGGGGAATATGTGGCTCCAAAACTCAACAAGAAGTGGTCGCTATCGAAACTAATTAAGAAGGTCAATGCACAATTTTATTGACTACAATCTAGCATCAACAAATCCTTGTGCAATAAAAAAATAAGATTCATTACAGCATTTGGTCAAATAGTCCTTTGTACATATACTTTTATCTTACCGTTAAAAAAACTAAGATCACACAAATTCTAGTACCAATATATCTACTACTTCCCATCCAAATAATCGATTTCACCAAGGTTCCCTCTAGAAACAAATGTCACTTTTATAGTTATGTTTTGATACCAACTTAAAACATTCTAAAGCCAAATTATATTGGGTAACAAATTAAATGCTTCCGACTCCATCTTGAGAACTGACTCATCACAGGATGTGTTTACGTTTACTAACTAATCAAAACTCAAAACTCTAGTTTCCAGTTTCAAGTACGTTTTTCTTGCGCAAAATCTGTCTACAATAAACTAGAAAATGTATACTTTTAAGTTAAAAAGAACAAAAATATAAAAAAAATGATAATATGCAATAATAGGAGTGATTTTGCCATAAAATAAAGTTTACAAATTTTTCTAAAAACTGAATTGGAAGTTGTTACGCCATGGCATCTTTCTAAAGCATCCACAAAATTGGCTGAAGTAATTGAAACTCTCTATATTAACGAAGTTAATCATTTTCAACCTGAAATAACAAAATTAAACATTCGGATAAACAAAACCCAAAACTGGAATGTGAAAAGCATTACAAACTAATATGCCAACAATGGGAAACAGAAGATAACAGAAAAATGAAAGGAATGAATCTATGGAGTAAAAGGAAGGTGTTTATGATGAAGAGGGTCGGATCCAGTCGGAACTTGTCTTTCTTCAACTTCATTAGCTGTTCCTCCGTTAATCTCCTTCTCCTGTTTTCCAAACAAGAACTAAATATAATCATCTTGCATCAAAATCATAAATAAACATACAAATCGAATATCAAATGCAAAGCTAGAAAACAAAAAAAGTTTCATTTTTTTTTTTTGTGTGAAAACTAATTGTTCATTTCCTTCAAAAACAGAAGAGATTGTTTTACCTTTTTCATGGTTTTCGTATCTTGTGTTTCTCCTAACCAAAAGAAAGCTACAAAAAAAAAAAAAAAAGAACAAAGAGGATTCATCATGTTTTGAACCAAACGATGAAGAAAGATGAGAATATTATAAGAATCACATGACACTTACATTTTGTAGAAGAAGAGTGAGCAAGTAGTGGGGACGAAAGAAGAAGGATGACTGATATGATGAAAACACTTCCTTTGTATTTCATCGCCGCCATTTCAAAAAACCTCTTCTGGTAAGAAGAGTCTCGACAAGAGAGTGACGAGAGGTGTCGTCGTCTAATAAAGTCGAAAGTTCCCGTTTTACCCTCGTTTTACAGCTTTCTTGGGGCAAATCCGTCATTTCCGTTGTTCTCATTGAGATGAGATTTTAAGCTGTACGGACACATATTACCGTTTCCAGGCTGGTTCGAACCAAGACAAATTATCACTCTCGTACAACTGCCGTGGAGCCACTTACGGCCGCCACGTTTCTGCTTATTTGTCGAACCCCAAAAAAACAATTTCCCGCCATTTTGTTGTTTCGTTTTTTGTCTTTTATCGAAGCAGAGGAAATTAGAGCTAATCCTTCTTACAGAATTGTGGGCTTCCTTTTCGGCCCATTACTGAAAACCCAGTTGGGCTAGTCTTTTATTTTGAAAGCTTTGCTGTCTCTGTACCTTGTAAGCCAAGCAAATGTTGTTAGTTATCATCATCATCCTCAAATTTTTCATCAATAAATGATAGATTACGTCTAATTTAAGGAAGACTACTACAATGTTTTTACCTAAGCGACATGTTGAAAACTAAATTACATTAACACTAATCAATCCATAAGATTCGCTACTTGTACCAACAAGTAGATAAAAAGGGATAAATTAGACATCCCTGTCATTACAATGAAGAGATGAATCATTCCTTGTTACGAGAAGAGCGATCCTTCCTGTGTCCTCCGAGGATACGAGAGATCTGAAGACCTCTACTGAAAGCTTGATTAAAGAGCATACGCGTTTGGAACTCCGACACAAATGGAAACCATGCCAAGAACGCCACTGGCGTAAACAGCAACAGTCCCATTACTATCTCGTATCCACGAGCTAGTGTCCTCACTGATCCCCAGAATCCTGCTCTATGAACCACCGGCTTACACGCTTGCGCAATCTGCAAACACACCAATTGTTAGTCTTGTTTTTATTCACACACGCACAACATTTCATTACCAACAAAAAGCTTTTCTTTACTTACCAAGAGCATCCCCCAACCTGTGGGCATAAAGGCAAGGATACACACAATTATGTCTTGTATCGTCATGTGAGCCAGTGTGATCAATATCACAATGATTGCGATAAACGTCATGAATATTAGCCCCTTTATCAACCGGAACATCAGCTGAAAACTCGCGCTGAATCTCCGCCTTCCAACCGAAACAGTCTGAGATAAACAAACAAACAAGCAACAAAACACTTGATTATTGACCATGACATTCCGGGAATTAACAAGAGATTGATGTATCAAGTAAACCCACCTTCATCACAAACAATATCAAGAAAATCACCAGCCATGATACTCCATAAACCTGAGTTGAGAAGGGATTCAGTGATTGGATAAGAAAATACCAACATTAATAGCTAATAGAAATGTTACATACCAGAAAGTTTTTAGTCCTCTCTGTTATCGTGAGATGATAAACAAGCCCATATTGATAGATAAAGAACCGCAGTGCCAGCAAAATCTCAACAACTATACCACGTTTTCCGGAATATCGGAGATGTTCTTGCTCTTCCTCCCACCAGGATTCCCAACTTTTTTCTGCCGGAACACCAATACCCCCGATGTTGTTTATCCATTTATTCCAATCAGTCCAATCATCAACAATTTTCTGCCACTCAAAACCAGAAGGATTGAAGAGGAAGGGAGCAAAAAGCCAAGTCCCGACCATGAACCACATAGATATGGTGATCAAAAGATATGCAAGGACGCCTCTGTAAGCACTTCCGAAAATTTGATACACAACAAGTAGCAGCATCATCTCAAGCCCCTTTACAAAATGGCTCCGGGAATACAGTCTGTAATTATCAGCAAATTTGGCATGAAAGACGACAAATCCTCTTCCTGTGGACCTGTACTTGGCACCGCCATGAAGTAACGTCCTCCCATAGTAGTGAGTCTTTGTCCCAAGAGAGAACGTAAAGAACACTGGCGCCAACTGAAGCTGCATCAGCACAAATTCACTCAAGGCAGTCCTAAAACCCCTCTCTAATCCAATTTCCATAAGCATAGGTAAAGCCATCAGGAAACCAATCTGGACAAAAGACTGTGAAGCCAGAGCTATTTGCAAAGGTGTATTGTCTCGGATGCCTTTCTGTGTACTTAAGCCTTGTTCGAGGCCACTCAAAACAAGATAGAGACGTCCATAAAGGAAGATATAGACAGTGAGAACAGTAATCTGTGAAAACAGAAGAAAATGAATCAGATCCGAACTAGCTGTGTGGCTTAACAAAAAAAGGAACAAAAAAAGATACCAAGGTGCTGAAGTAAAAGCCGACAGTGGTGAAGTAACATGACATCATTCGGAAAAAGTCAAAACGGTGTCCAAGCCTGTAAATATCCCGACTTAATGTCTGCTCTCCATTGCCGTTAGCAATCTTGGCCTCAAACATAGATATCTGATTTAGACCGACATCTCTTCCTTTACCAACTTGTATGTATTCATGATGGGTAACATTTCCCTCACGAAGTGTAGAATTGAAACCTGCTCAATACAAAACGCTAGCAATCCATCAGCGAGGACATCAATTAGAGTCTATGAAAGAAATAGCTGGTCCTCCATAAGAGCAGAATATACCTGCAAATATATCTTCACTGAGGTTGATTACCTTGGATGCTTTGCTAACACCACCTCTTGTTAGATGAAACAGTCTATCAAACACATCTGGATGACCATAATGGAAACGAACCCTATATTGGAGCAAGAGAGAATTTTGATTTGGGAATGATAACAAAGAAAATCATGTGCAATCATCACTACAGTTGATCTCAGAAAACACAATTACCTCAATGGGTTTGCCAATAATCTCTGACCAATGGTAACAAAACTAGTCTCTTGATTTGACATGAACCAAGCAAGGGAGGAAACACTGCGCAGGCCAAACACCAAATGTTCTTAAAGATGACCAAACTTCATTGAGGAAAAGAGAAAATCCCTACAATAGATGGAAATGCTAAAATACTCACGATCCAGTAAATATATGTTCCCTAAGTCCAAGAATGGATGGATGCCTAACACCATCATGCTTTGTAAGAAATTCTTGAAGCAAATTCCTCATCTTTAACGCTTCTTCCATGTAATTATCCTGAATAAAAATGGCATTATAAGAAACTTAACATCAACTTGAAGCATCGAAACAACTAGAAGGCTGAGAAAAAAGAACAAGTGCATACCTGATTCATATCGATTGTCTGTAAACCTTCTCCACGAGAAAAGATGATAGCATGATTTTGGTTTTCTGGCTTTCCTTCTCCAAGAATAGCAGGTCCAGGAAGCCTAATCCTATAGATAACCTAGAAGGCAGGTAAATTTTAATATATACATCCGTGTAAGAATCAATACAAAACAAGGAGTAAAACTAACATGAGATAGCATATATAACAGTAGAAAGTAAATATAAAAACTGTGGCAAAAAGACGTATGTAACCCAGAGGCAGAACAATTTATGAATCAACACAGGTGAATGACATTAGGTTGCCATTTAAGTAATCCATATACGATATACTATTCAGCATTCACTAAGAAAATGTCAGTAAAAAATTCAGCATTTGCAACACCTTCTGGACGGGTTTAATTTACGCTAACACATTCAACGACATAATAAATTGCAGAATCTTCTGCTTGAGAAAAGTGTTAGATTGCTTTGCATTACCTGGTCCAGATTTTGTGCTAAGCTAGAATGATCAGTTGACTTAGGCACCTTTACCAACACAGAATAATACACTTTCTGGTTCCCTTTCTTTGACTTGTCTTTCACTGGTTCTTCGACCTCATCAATATATGCAACACGGAGCGAAGGGTATCTGCCAATTGTAAGCAAATCCATAAGTTTCAAACAATTTAAAACAGACAGCAATATAGTATTATTTTGCACACCTTGTCATAAGCCTCAATATATCCTGAGCACGAGGATCACCGGATCGTTTATGGATACCATATTGTTGACATGATACAACATATGTAAACTTCATGTCAGCAACGGCTTGGCACTGTGCCCAGAGTGATCTTTCACCTCTTGAATTGTTCTCTGAATTTAGTTCTACAGCCTTGTAACCTTCCATCAAATCTGGAGAAGCAAATTTCAAGAATGAGTCAGCATCAACGATCAGTTGTGTGAATTGATTTATGCCCTTTTCCATACAATATAAATTAGAGAAAAACACCTTCATGCATAGCCATGTCAAGGAATGCCTGAAGTTCCAATGCTTTTCGATAGTACATCATTCCTCTTACTGCAAAAATATCAAAGATCAACAACAGATTTACATTGTATCCATCTAATCTTTTACTGAAAGAAAATTAACCAAAAAAGTATACCAGTTCTAGTCAAAGTTTGCCCTCTATATGAAGCCCATAAACGAAGTTCCTCCTCTAATTCATCAGACTCCTTAAGTTCCTCTTCGCTTAAGCACTTCACCCGCTCAAGAAAATTGTTCCATTCATCTAGAGATCAATGGTCAGGTTCAAGAAGTGATTCGAGAATTTAGGCTACAACGTTAACAGCATATGAACAAAAATCACCTGGAAAAATCTTTTGTAAGTAAAAGAGGATCGAAACACCATCTTCATTTGGTGTTTCCAGATCCCTCAAGGAGAAGAGGACCTCTTCAGTGTAATATGGAGTCAAAACACTACAATAAGAATAGCAAAGAGAAAACCCCAACCAGTTTAGTAACGAAAAACTTCAATAAAAGCAGAACAATATATATAACAAACTAACCTAGCCAGTTCAGTTACAAAAAACTACAATGCAACCGTACTTCATTATAGTTATAAACAAGTAGCAATTGATATCATGATACAACAGTTCTAAATCTTAGTTTTGTCATCATAAAAGACAAACTTGAGGAAATTATCAACTGGAACTTTAGGAGAAGAACCAATCATCTACCAACAATATGTGAGTATATAAATTTCCGAAGTGGTGGACTCTAATTAAAATGACCAGAAATGGCTTACGAAAACGATAGCATGTTGCGAACTTTAGGTGCCATAGGCATGTCCATGAACAACGAATTTGAGAAGAAAGAGATCCGCCTTCTTGCTTCCAAGTTAGAGGGGACATCCATAGCAGACTCTTTAGTAGTCAACAAAAGATATATCCGTTTGATCTACACATACATGCATTAAAATTTTGAGAACAAATCATATGAAGACTGCACGAATAGAACTTAAATATAACCCAATCTAACCTTCTCTTTCCAAGCTTCTGTTACTGGTTCAATAGGAAATCTAATGGCACCTGAGGATGCAAACAGCTGATATTGTTGTTCGAGAGGGATCATTCCCCCATGCCAAGTGCCACCATGACTCGAATCTACCAAGCTACAGAGACAACTAGATATATGAGATTTTGATGTTCATATGGCAAGACATTGCGGTAGAAAGTT